ATGTACATATGTACATCGATACACAAATTCATTTGAGTTAGTTCCGCAGATGTTATCATTTTGTCTGCATTATCATTCGGTGATTTTCAAACCCCTGCCTAAAAGTTCCGAACGACTGAAGTAAAAAGGAACGAATTGCAGTAAAGGGCGGGGCCTACTTTGGATTTGTGGTGTTGTTTACTTTTCTCCCGAGTGCAATGACAGCTCCCAATAGTTTTCGCTCAGTGTGGGGTTGTCTTTCCATTCGTGTTAGTTAAATTAATCCGTTGAAATCGAAGCACGCCAAAAGAAACCTTATGATTTAATCATACACTTAAAAGGAAAATTGATCGAATGCTTTTGAGCTAATTAAAATGGAGGCATCAAACATAGTTATTTAATCAATTAAGTAGTTGGTAATAAGTTGCAGGTTAGCTGTTGTTTATTTTAATACACATTAAAAAAATACTAGGTCTTGATACAGCATGAGCAATTAGATTGCAGATCTAGGCAAAGCTTTGTCTTATACAAATGCTCTGAGTAACCATAGCTTAACATTCCAAATAATAAACAACACAATAAAAAACATAAAAATATAAAATCGAGAAAAAAAATATTGTTCCAAAAATGAATATTAGATATATTTGCTTTGTTTCTTTCACTGCTTATTGGTTCCCCTCCGGGCTTTTATCGCTTTGCAATGAGCAGAATTTATTGATTATTGTTTAAGTGGCATAATCATGGCTGCAGCTACGAGATTACTTTTGTCTGAGCTAAAGCAAATACAATGCCGACGCATTCTCCGTACTCGAAATTCAACAGCAAATGGACAAATGAACATTTCGTGTAATTATGGTCAAGGCAGCAGCTGGTTACCGAGGGCCCCACTTTTCAGTTGCCAGTTCTCAGCCAACAAAGAGAGGGTTTCCCCAATCGTGTTCGTTAGCTCCCTAGGATGACATTGACGGTATTTTGCTGGTGGCTCTGTTTTGGCCATGGTTGTGAACCAATTGCCGCACTTTCCGAGCTCTCTCTCTTTTAATGCCGTTTACTCGCAGAGTACAAGGGTATTTATAATGCTCTGTTTGCAGGAGTCAAGGGTATGCTGTATTTGTGGATAAATACATGTATAAAAAGCAATCTCTCGTACATTACATGTAACTTTTACATTGAAATAATTATTTCAATACTCAAAAGAATGTTTATATTCAATTATTACTACAGTGTAAAGTTAATCTACAATTGAATTCTATAGCTATAGCTGAATTTTAAAACCTAATAATATGCAGTTGAAGGACGAACATGCAAGTTTAGTTTATTTTGGGAGGTAAGGGATTTTGATATTAGCCATAAAAATGCTTTACAGTACGGATAATACTTTAAGACGCAGTAGTTACAGGGTATTCGTTCGTAGATAGTCTCTTTATTAAAGCGTTTTTGTTTTTAGTTTCAAGGGAGAGAGACATTTGGTGCTTTACTGCTGCTGACGTCGCTGCCAATTGTCGGTGCCAAGGCTCTTTGGCTGGCATTGTTTGTTCTTTTGTGGAGGAATCGACAAAGAGCATGGCCATGAGAAAGGAAGTGGGTTGGTGGGTGGTACTGAGAGAGTGGTACGTTTATTTAGATGTGAGTGAGTGAGCACATACAGTAAGGCTTGGCCCAGTGGCACCAGGCAATCAAATAAATATACATCCAAGGATATTTAACATTTTCTAGCATTCCATTACCAATTGTAAATATGCATTATGTGATTACTGTACACACAGTCATTCAACTACAGGGCAGATATAGTTCTCCATACAAATCAAAACAAACAAACGTTTTACTGCAGTTGAATTTTTTGTTTGCTCTGTAGGGTTCTATCTCATTATCTTAAATGCGTTCTTAAAATTGTTTGATTAATGTACATTTTCTCTTTTCTTACAGTATTTCACTGGCAAGCTACAATAATGGGCCCGGTAAGAGAAATATAAGATCAAATGGATGGAGATCAAATCGCAGCTATAAATTGATCTTAATTTTGAGTCCAAATTAATTTCAGTTAATTTTTAGTTTAGGTTTGGATTGGTGTGTTCAATGTTGATATAGATAATTGCAGAATAAGGCTGTTCAGTTGTTTTAGCCTTTTTATCTTTTCTTCATGGTAAGCTTAAGTAGAAGAAAAAACGCAACCTAAAAAGGTTTATATTCTACTTTGAGCTTACCATAAAGACTCAAAAATATAATAATTACACTAGAATGTTAAGTTACCGCATTATATTTTTATATTTAGCTGATAGAGAGTGTATACAACTGATAAGCACGATGACTTAAAATAGTCAGTATGGATAGATAAGCGCATATAGTTAATTATACTGTTTTTGAAATATGTAATTGACTTTTGTTTACACAATATTCAATTTACAATGCTAATAAAAAATGTTTTCGCGGTCTGACGCGATGAATATTGAGTCATAATACTTAATGGAGGGAATACCTTATTAAAAATTATTTGTTTGAATTGGAAACATCAAATCATTTATTATTATAAATGAAAATGTGAGAAAAATGTATTAATTATATCGGTCACTTAATTTGTCAATTGAACCCAATCCATACCGACAAGTAAATTTGTTGAATTATTAACTAGCTTCACTGTTCTAATCTTCATTCATTTTATTTTCTTTCAGCCGGACAGCCCTTATCAAGGAGGTGTATTCTTCTTAACTATACATTTTCCAACAGACTATCCCTTTAAACCACCTAAAGTGGCTTTTACAACGCGCATATACCATCCAAACATTAACAGCAATGGATCGATTTGTCTCGATATATTAAGATCTCAGTGGTCGCCAGCATTAACTATTTCAAAAGGTGAGTTAACCTAAAGCTTTGAAATGACATCAAATCTAATAATACTCCTTTTTTCTTTCAGTCTTATTATCAATTTGCTCTCTACTCTGTGATCCCAATCCAGACGATCCGCTTGTTCCAGAGATTGCCAGAATATATAAAACCGATCGGGAAAAATACAATGAGCTGGCACGAGAGTGGACTAGAAAGTATGCTATGTGATGCGTTCCAGATTGCAGCAGTCCAACAGAATCAGCAAATTCAACATCAACAACAGCAGCAGTAAAAGCAGATGCAAATGCAAATGCGACAGCAGAAGCAACAACAACAGTAAAAGCAACAGCAACAGCAACAAAGATAACATCAACAGTTTACAATAGTCAGAATCAGATGAAGAGGAGCTGCAGCCGCGGCATTGTTAATGGCAATGGCCGCCGTGCGGTTGACCACAACAATAACCACAATATCAGCAGGAACTGCGGCCACAGCAGCAACAACCACAACACCAACAATCGCCACAGCAACATCAGCAACTGCAGCCGCAGCAACTTCAACATCAGAAACTGCAGCAGCAACAGTAGCAGCAGCAGCAACAAGATCAACAGCTGCCCCCGACACCTTTGCAGTCGCTGTCGCTGCTACCGCCTCCGCAGCGGCATTAGCATTAGAAACAGCAAGATTGGGAGCGGTACCAACAGCAGCGGCAACTGCCAGCGGACCGGAGGCCTTGCAGCAACAACATCAGCAGCAGCTGGAGCGACAACTGGCAGATTGGTGGCGGACTGGGAATAAGTGTGTTTTGACCGAACAGAAACAGAACAGCATAAACGGAAATAATTTAATAATAATTACTGAAAAATTATGTAAGCATTAAACATTAAAAGCTAGACAGCTACCAACAACAGCATCAACATAATAAGTTTAAATACAAAGAAAAACAAAACTACAAATAAAAATCAGCTGGAAAAATTATTATTATTATTATATTATATTTAAAGAACCGGAAAAATAAAAATTGCAAAAATTCAATTTAACATTCAAGCGCCAAAGTAAAGAAAGGTAGGGCTTTCAGCCACACTTGCTTTTTTTAAAATAAAATGTTTTTAATGAATGTGTGGTTTGACAACATATAGGGTTTCTACAATTTTGTCTCATCGCTTGTACCAAAAAATAATTTAACATTTTGTTGCCCAACATTTATTTATGTAATCAAATTTTTTTAAAAATGTATAATTTTTCTTTTAAACTTTTGCTGTTTTGAAAATTATTTTTAAATTTGGTAGTACCTAATTAACTGTTTTGATTAAAATATTCGATTTGGTTTTGTAAATTATTGATGTTGAGTTCACTTTGTTTAAAGTTGCAAATATTGATAAATTACTAAATAGATGATGCTGCTCATTGTTTAATATTAATATTTTGCTTTTGTTTTCAAAGCTCACAAAGTTTATCAACACTGTACTCTAGCCAAATTTCGGTTCTACACAAAAAAAAATTAACGCTTATTCAGCTATTTTGATTAATTAGCATGCTGTAAAGATATGGATGAGTTGGTTGATAAGTTTTATTGGGCCATCTGCCAGTGAGTCTAATTTCGAAATTATATTCTTACTGTGTGCAACAACTTTTTAATTGGACAGCATCGTGTGGACTTTGAAACGAGTCGCTAACTGCTTTTGTTGAGAGCACGGCTATCTTGGCACGACAATGCCAAGTGACAGCTTTCTTAGGTCAATAATTAAACTTTTTAATGGTTTTTGTGGGGTTGAGAGGGTTTAATGATGCTAAAAGCAAGGAAATTTGTTAACTCGGTCAATGCGAGGGGCATTTGTTCAGAGAGCCGATTTTATAAAAATTCAGAGTGTGTTGGCATAAAAGGCAAAATGTTTACAAATGAAAATATTCAGTGAGCGTTAGCCAATAAATAAAACTGTCTTTAAAAAAATTTGGTGGTAAAAATCTTAGAAATTAAATATTTTTTCAGAAGACTAAATTTCGGTATCCCCTAACGTTTTGTATTTAACTTTTAAGTCAAAATTTTTAAAGGGCAATGACCAATAAAATTAAAATATTCAGGAAGTGCTTTTGAAGTTCCAGTGTAAAATCTCCGATGGCGGCAACAGCCGCAGCATGTGCAAAATTAGCATTTAATTAATACAAATACAATACTGAATATAAAAAGAACCATGTTCGCTGAGATCAAAGTTTCACCAAGCTTTTGCCAAGATCACTCTCTTGAAACCCCGTCTTTCTTCTCTTAGGAGCTATTTTTTTCTCTTTACTCTTAACATACCACACTCGAGGTCTTTTAAAATTTTCAGTTGATATTTTGCCGCGTTGCGAGAGGTTGTTCGCGAGAACTCATCAGCTCAAAGTGAAATTCCAATCCCAATTCCGTGTGTGGCCAAGTTAAACTAAAGTAAATCAAAATCAATTGAAGGTTATCTGTGCCCTTAAGGCTGCCAATTTACAAGTGCAATCGTTGACTTGACACGTGCTGCGAAAGCTGCCGTTGAATTACCTGGAAATTTTAGAAATTTCGATTATGCAAACGGTTTTGTGAGAGAAATGTGTGCTGCTGTTCTATAAAAGAAATAAATTCAAAATTGCAGTCGTGGAAACAAACGCTTCTTGCTAAACACACAGAGAACAATTTTTGGGGTCGATTGGATAATTAAAATACAATTTTTTATTCACATTAATGAATTATAAATATTCCTTTTTATCTTTGCTAGTTTGATCAGTGAAAATAAACATTGTTTTCTGATTTGCACATATATGTAAAACTTATAGATAGATTTATATTATGTTATGTAATATACGTATTCAAAGACATTTTTATTTTTTTTAATTTAAAAAAAAACATGTTTTGGTTCGTAATCATAGTTTCTTAAATCATAAAGTATACCCTTATCAACGAAGCTATTCTCAAATACAAACCAGCTTCTCTCAGTATACGAATACTGGAATAAATAAAGTTCAATTTTTGAGACCTTTTTTAGGAAAGGTTTCTTCCAGCTATAATCGATTAAGCTCGGGCGAAAGCCCAGCGATAAAGAGTGAAAAAAGAGAGGCCACGGAGAGAGCGAAGCACGCTTTCTTTGTCGACTCCAACCTGGCAACACCCTCCCCAATTGGCACCATTCGAACAGTCTTTTGTTTAGGAGCTCGATTCGATTTTCGCACTCTTCTGTGAAATGGGAAAGGGTGCATAGCATGCCGGCGTCCAACTGGCGATCACAGTTTAAATATTTACACGGACAGACGATATCTAACCGAGTCGAATTTCTGTAAATTCCATCAGGCCCCCGAGTCGCCATGAGTCCCCGACCCCGCGAGATCCTGGACGAAACAGAGCTGGAGGTCGAAACGTCCACCTGCTACCTCCGAAAATCTAGGAAGGATTCCGCAGGCAACTGTTGGGTAAGTCAGTTTATTCTTGTTAAGCAAAGCGAACTTCACACGGTAGCGGTTCGGAACTGGTGGGGTCTTGAGACTTATATATAAGATCACACAAATATAAATATTTATATTGTATCACTTAACAGTCTTAGATCAGCTTAAATTATTTTAAATTTGACTTATCGTTAGTTCAGTAAGCCGCGTTTATATAAAAAACAAAGACTGCTGTTGAAATTGCTAAAAATTTGCTGAATTCTACCAAATATTTTCTTAAGTCTATTTTATAGAAACACTCCACCCTAATATTTTTATTCAAAACAAATAGTTATGCAAGATTTAACAAATATACAAATTTTACAAGTATCTAGCAATTTCTAAATCTTGTCTGTAAAATTACAAATTTATTAATTTATTTTCAGTTATTATAAGTATTATGAGTTTATATGAGTGAAATATAAATTATTCCAAGCTTTGTAAATTTTTAGTTTTTAAGAGTTCTCAAACCTCAGATTGATTTATGAATATTGTTCACGTTCTGTTGATCATGATGGACCCGGAAATTGCATTGACTCCATATTCAGATCCACTCCTGTTCTCAAAGTCTACCAAACGTCACGTGCATCGCTTTGCGTTCAAATCTCAGCTGTGAAACCCCAAATAAATAGCCATACGAAAAGCTGAAGAGCTCGATTTAACCTTATACAAAAGTTGCAGAGTGAGCGATTTTCGCCATAGCCCCAGGGCTAGCCCACTAGATCTCCGTCGAATGGAGCCAAGGTCAAGTTGGGCTTATTTGTAACCGATTAGAGCTTGCCACACCGATATCTTGTTATGCATTATGTTTACACATGCCTAAGGGGCCTTGCGAAAGTCCCCATGCGGAATTTCTGAACTTCGACGAAAGGCGAAACTGGTTTTTGGGCTCGATTTTCAGATACGTTTTCGGTTTTTATTTACGTCTCCCAGCAGCGGTAAAAACAAATCATGCATCCGTGTTTTGTGATCGTGTAAACAATTAATGCGAATTCAAGAGAAAAGCTCGAGCAATCAAAATTGTGCAATTTTTGTTTACAAAAGGGTTCTCATTGGGCGACCGATCATCAACTCGATATGTTATATAATAAGGGGCTTGTCTTAATGGAAAACACACATGGTACACTCACAAAAAATAAATGTACATCACCACTCATAAAGAAATAACTTAAAAATTCAAGAATACTAATTAATTTTTTAAATAATGTTTGTGCAATTTATTTTTAATCTAACTTTTTTTTATTTTTTTAACAACATATTTAGCTAAATAATTAAAAAAAAACACACAACTTGGGTCAAGACACAAATATTACATAAATTCAATTCCGTTTCCAAATTTTTATTATTTTTACCAGACCTAATATTTCATATATTGTCTTATCTGTTAAATATATTTTGCTTTGAAAGCGTTAACACTTTGAAAATAGTATAACAAATGGAAAAAAAACTCGTTTAAAGACTTTTTTTAGTGTACCCGATAATCAACCTGACTTTACCAAAAGTGGCCGCTTGCACAAGAAGCGAAAGCTCATCAGCCACGAAATTTCGCATAATTTCAGCATAACTGTCTGTGAAAAATATGCCTCTCCCAAGTGAAAAGATTGGTCAGTTTTTTGACTCTCAAAACATTCTGCAATCGAAATGTCGCTCTCGGCTGCTGCGAAATTATAGAAAGCTTTTCCACAAGCTTTTTCGATTCACTTCATTGGCCGCAACATGGGGTTTTCAGTTGCCAACTAGTTAGCAATCGCAACGGTTTACTATTATTCCGCGCTCAGTTGAAAAACTCCTCAAGGAGTCGCGAAAAACTTGAAAAACGTTATTTTGAAATGCCCTTGTTTTTGAGTCTTACGTGTGTTGAAATATATTAAAGAATTGAGAAAATTTTTAATAACGAAAAACTTAAAAGACAAACCATTGCCGAAAGTTTAGGCCTCCCATTTTGAAATTGCAAATATATTAACTTGGTGATAAGTTCACAAAATGGAAACCACAATTGTTACCACAACGACAACCGAACTAAAATGCATTATTCGCGGCAACAAAAAGAAAGATGTAAGCTGGGTTCCAAACTCTGAAAATCTAAAGTGTGCATTGCAACAAAGCAAACAAATGGCTAAACTACGTCAATGCCTAATTAATGAATGTAACATCCTGTTTATCGATGGCATTCCATTATATTTTCTATTTACTGACAATTATCTCAGCATGCTGAAATAAGGAATATTTTCATGGAGTGTTTGTTCGAAAATATTTAACAAGTTACAATGTCAAGTTTTCGAGCTCGTGCACAATTTTATTAAATTCAATTGGTTTTTACTAATTAGAAGAGAAGTAATATATTTTATTTAATTCCAATACCTTTGTTTTTCTTTTTAATTGCATAAAACTTTTCTTTACCTCGTAAATAATTTTGTTGTATAATTTACAATGTATGCACCCATACTCTCCAAAAAATATTTGACGATTGAGCAATTCAATTACCTGAACATATCCATTTTTAATAGCCAGACCAAAAAAACATTTACTCACTTGTATAATTATTTACAAATAGGTATAGAAAGCTATTTTGAATAACCTTTTTAATGACTCCTAGGACCGTGAGTTAAGTGTTTAAAAAATGTATTATTATGCAAAATGCAAGTGCTTAAATGTACCTTCCATTTAGCATTTTACTTAGCATGTTTAAATTTTTAAATGATTTGTATGGAGTATGCGGATTATTGTAAATAAGTTTAAGAAATACACGATCTTTCTAAAAATTATAAGTGGAATTAAATTGTTACCCCTTTAATCTTTATAAATTTATTTTAATAGCTAATATAAAATTTGGGAAGTAATAAAACTATATTATAGCTTTCTTAATGCATTTATGGGCTCTCCCCAATTAGGAATGCAAAAAAAGCAAAACAAAGATTGTGCGAATTGTAAACAAAACGTCATCAAATTGGATAAGAAACTTGCATTTGCACTTGCACTTGCCCTCCCACAATCGCTGTTGTTGTTGTTGTTATGCATTAGATTTAGAAGCTGGATAAACAAATTACAGTCAAGCCCCCTTTGCAGTTGTTGTTATTGCTGTTTGCTTATGGGGTTGTTGTTGGTGATTGGTTGTTTTTATTGCATTTTTGCAACGCTCGTTTGTTAGTTGTTTACACGCTAAACCGAAACCAAAAACCCCAGATCAAAACAACAACAACTGAAATAGCAGGAACCGCAGAAAAGATAATAATAAAATCAGCAAACAAATCAATTTTCGACTGCAGTTGCTGTTGGCTAAATATAAAACGAAAACCGCCAGTTGCCAACGTATGTTCATAAGGCGGAAGAATCTGAGAAACATGTATAATTGTATACGAATATCTGTTCTTGTCCTCAATTCAAATTAGTTTTGAGCCGGTGCGGCAGCTAATCGATAAGGTTTCTAATTTTAACATTTCCTTTTTTCTTGGCAAATCTCTTTCAGATCGATGGTCAGCTGGTCACGGATAATACGGACGCATCGCATCAATTTCCGTCCGACGAGGAGCCCAATATTCTGGGTCATGGACCCAACTACGACGAGAAGTTGTCCAAATTCAAATGGCTCTGCAATTTCGATGATGTGAGTTAACCCACGCGATCTTGGGGGTCAATTTGGTGGCAATTGTCGCGCAGTGAATTTTAATTGATCGCAAATTGTATTTGGCGAATTGACAAAAAGCCACAATCAGGGGCAAATACGAGTTCAGGCCGTAGGCAATATCAAATCATTCAACAACCTATGGTGTACCTTCAATTTACATGGTTTTTAAACTCTGGTTTGGGCTTATTGTTGTTTTTATATGCTCAAATAATAACCGATTGCTCGTTGTAAAATGGCCAAAACGTTAAAATATGTGAAATCCACGAGTTGGCAACAATTGCAAAATAATACAATTAGACAAACCCAACCAAATGCCAACTGAATCAAGGTCGACCAGCAACAAATAAAAAGCTCTACGGGCAGCGAGCATTTAATATTTGAATAGCGGTGGCAAATAAAAGAAGCTACTGTTTTTCGGAGGTGTAGGTTACAAATCTGTGGAAATCCCCAAGGCAACTCCCGAATCGCTTTGTTCGAATCGGATCGCATTTCGAATCGAATTTCTGGGAATTTTCGAACCATGTTGCTGAAATGCTCTTGAAACAAATATCGTTATTTTGAACCAATTCTTATGCAATTTCAAACCAGTCTTTAACTGGGTTTCGATTAATAACTGCTTCCGATATAAAGGTAATAATTAATTTAAATAAGGAAAAAACGAATACTACTTAACTTAAAAACGATTTGAAAAGTTAAAAAAAAACAATAAACCAAAAAAACCTTTGTCACATGAAAGAAAGTAAACAATGTACGTACATAGATGCCAAACTAGAAGAATTGGATTAATTTATTTTATTTATTTTTAATTGAACCAAGTGAAAAGCTTTTTCGCTTTAAATTGGGCGGGATGCCAGTGCCAAAAGATGTTCTCCATTTGTTTTGTCGTATCTATTTTATTTCGTCTTCATTGTTTGATTTTCAATGCTGCGCATTCGATTTGCATGTCTTATCGACTTGGAAAAATGTATTTATTTGAAATGTTTATTCAATTGTTTTTTCGATGCAGGCCCCCAGTCACTTAAAGTTCAACCCTTACATCCGACGCGGCTATCGCACATTCCTATCCAACAAGTTGTGCCTGCAGAGTATTTTCTGGTGGACCAATGAGACGGTAAGAACCCGTAAAATAATTACATAATTTGGGCTTCCAAAATGTTTTTATTTGTAAAACAGTTAATTATGGATTTTTTACATTTTCGTAACTCCAATTGTATCTAATCTATTCTATTTTGATTATCAAATCTAAAAGATATTTTAAAGATCTTTACTTTGTAACAATAAAATAACCTGTCATTCATGTTAAGCTTAAAGTTTATGGATACATTTTCTCAGTTTAAAACCTACTTGTATATTAAATATAGTATAATATAAATAGTATCTAATTTTCTTTAAAATAAATGCATAATCATCCTGTTTTGAAAATTAAACCCTATTATTTAAAATTATCATCATTAATTAAAAATGATTTTAAAATTTAAATCATCATTTAAAAGTTTTTAAAATTCTAAAAACAAACTTTCATTTATACTTACATACATAGAATTTGTCTTATTTAGTAATTTAGTAACAGTAAAATCCTTCAATATTATATTATTGGTCTAAATCAATCAATGTTAGTTTACACATGTTGTTAACTTAGATCTTTAATTTGAAATAATTAAATTGTAATTTCCTATTTTGTAGATCAATATCTGGAGCCATCTGGCCGGGTGCATCCTATTCATCGGCCTGACGATCTTCGACCTGCAATTCCTGCGCCTGCACGCCTCTTTGACCGACCAAATCCTGGTCGTCTGTCTGCTGGTCTGCTTCTGTCTTTGCATGCTGATGTCCGCCATATACCACATATTCTCCTGCAAATCGGAGGAGCATTACGAGCTCTTCTTATCGGTCGACTTCCTGGGCATCTCGCTGTCCCTGGTGGCCATCTACATCAGCGGAATGTACTACGCCTTCTGGTGCCACACCTTCCTGCGCACCCTGTACTCCACGATCGCCTTGGGGATGTTCGCCCTGGCAATCGCCGTGCAGATTCCGCGGTTGAATGTCTCCATGAACGGCAAGGTGGCGGTGCTGCTGCTGTGGTCCGCCTACGGAATCATTCCGCTTGGTCACTGGGCGGTGGCGATGGGCGGCCTGGAGAACGAGCTGGTCAGGGTGGGTACCACAAATACTTCAAGGACCTCAAACTGTCTTTAAAAATAGTCAAAGTAGAGCTTTATTTATTATATCAAATGTATCTAACATGGAAGGCGTTTGCATCTTTGTGAGCAACCAAATTCTTATTTCAGGTAGTTTACAAATTTGGAACGATTAATATGAATTTACAATTAACTAAAGAGAAAAATAAAAAGCTAGTGGTTTAATTAAAGCTTTTAAAGATGTTGATATATAAAATTGAAAATTATTCTATATGAATGCCAATTTTTGATTTTCAAAATATATTTCTTAAAATATGTATTGACCATCAACCATTTGGATTTATTCTGACGTCAATTCATTTTTTATTAAGTCTGTTATATTTATTATTGAGTGAACTTACAGTGTCCCATTTTTTACAGCTGATGGTGCCCCGCATTGTTGTCATGTACCTGCTCTGCCTCATCGCGTTCGTTTTCTACGCGGCCAAGATCCCGGAGCGCTGGTTCACCGGAAAGGTGGACTTCGTGGGCCACTCGCACAACTGGTGGCATTTGATCATCGTGGCGGCCTTCTACCATTGGCACAACACCGGACTGGTCTATGCCGAATATCGCCTGAACAATGGCTGCAGTGCCCCCGTTCTCGCCTGAGATTTGGTATTTGAGATCGCTAATCTAAGGTCCCAGAACCGGGGAGCGGAAATGAATGCGAATACGGAAACGGAACCGGGACATAGTGTACATAGTTTATGGGGCGCTCTTTATCCGCTATTAACTAATATTTAGTTGTAGTTGTTGACCGATATGATTAATTTATGTGTAATTTACCGATTAGTTAGGTTTTCGTGTTAGTCTATCCAAAGAGTTGACATAACACGAGCGGAGGGAAGGTTTTTCTCTTTATTTCCTAGTTCATTTCGTTTTAATATACAATGTTTATGAAATTGCATGTGGCTTGAGCTGAAGCTGTGTTAGTCTTGTTGACTCGATTTTTACAAATACTTTAAATGCAAATACAATATCAAAAGTACAAAACAATCCGACCCGTATTTTTCTTTTAATTTATGTATTGATATTTAATATCTCCTGTGGTGACTCTTAATTATACACCAAAAAATATCAGGAGTAATACAAATGCATAATAATATACAGGTAAATTAAAATTCAATTTTTAGAATTGCAAACTCAGGTATATAAATTTTGTCTTTTTACATACCAAATAAATAAAATAATTCACATATGGGCCAAAACAGAAAAATACATCAAAAACAACAAATTATTTGTGCTAAATCCAATACAAACTACATTCAATATTTAAAAACTAATTACCTTTCCTACTTTTCATTTTGACCGATTTTACTAGCTATGTTGTAGGGATTGAAAGATGAAAATTCTATAAATATTGCCTTACTAATCATTTTAGTATCAGACTTCTTTATATATATAAACTGATTTTTGAAGACCCAACGGCCGGAAGAATAACTGACACCGGTTAACAGTGAGAATTAACAGTGTCATAGCTACAGTGAACGATCGATTACCGATGACCAAATTCACTTGGAAACGAAAAATCATATATTTATATCTTTTTTAATATTGCTCACTTGAAATTGAGCTAGAAGTAGCATAAGTATATTGGTATATTTTCTTATGTACATAAAATAAAGCGTCAATGGACGAAAATCAAGACTCTGATGCAGATTGATTTAATTTGTTTGTTTGTTCATTGAAAAGGAATATGTTAGTTCGTATTCAGCCAGATCAAACCCTTAGAAATTGTTAATATTATCTTATCTTATTTATAAAATTAATAAATATACTTTTTTCTCAACATTTACACATTTAAAAATGGTATAACAAAAAAAAAGTTGCATCCTAACATTTCTGTTAGAAAAAGACGTAAATTAACAGTTCTGGTTGAAAACTTTGATATATTTATGGTATATTTAAAAATGACAAAAAAGTATATTTTTCGGATGCCGCCGGTATCTTCTTGTTACCTTTCCTGCGGTCACACTGGCATTGGAAAAACAAATTCCAAATCGGACGGTTATCAAACTGCGCTGCTCGTGTTTCTGCTCTAAGAAATTCCGGAACCGAAGTGATCGGTAACGGCGCGAGCCAAACAAAACTGAAAGAGTCAAATATTTTTTTCTGAACCAAAAAGTCGGAATTTCGGTGGTTTTGTGATCGTGAATAAGAGAAAAGCTGAGCGTTAAATTCCTCGTTAATTAGTTTCAATTAGGCAAAAAAAGGAGCCCAAACGATTACAACGGCAGCAACAACAAGAAATGGAAAGAAGAAGCAGCGACTGTGAGCAGTGATCGTGTGCTTGTATTCATCTGTATACAAATGTGTGTGTGTTTGTGGCTGGAATGGAATGCAGTTACGAAAAAAAATAAATAAATAATTGAGAGCGCGCCCGCGCTCTCCCGCTCTCCCTCGCGCGCGTGTGTGTTTATGTGTTTGTCTCCATTATCGCCGGAGTGAAAGAAAAGAAAGAAACGGAATAAAAATGTCTTTGCTAATGTAAACAGCGCAAAGAGAAACCCCCCAAAAAATAGGCTGAAGTAGATAGCAAAAAAAGAAAAAGCGCGCGTCGGGTGAAAAGTATATAGTTTTCTCAGACTCCCAAAGTACAGAGAGAAAAATTAAGATGCCGAATCTGCAACAGACCGCTTCGCAATCGCAGCATCACTTGCATCCCCACCACCTGCGGCCCCACCAGCAACAACACACCCAACAGCAGCAGCAACAACACCACCACCACCATCCCCAACAGCAACAACACCACAGCGATTTCCCACTTCCAGAAGGTTGGGATATTGCCAAGGATTTCGATGGCAAGACCTACTACATAGACCACATCAACAAGAAGACAACCTGGTTGGATCCTAGAGATTGGTAAGTGGCCCTAAAATGGGAATCTAAAATGATATAAAAGTTATTATCAACTGTCGTTGGTTTAAAAAGCGTTCGAAAGTAAGAATTTCTAATAGAAAGAATCTAAAAAATATTTAAGAACTCAAATTGATTTTAAAAAGGAAGAAGAATAAAGCATTCACCCTTCAAAAATATATATCCATACGATAGAATCAAAATTTTTGTTTTGGTCTTTAAATAAATTGTTCATACTAAAAATAGTGATATCGTGGCTAATAAGAATATAATTGCTTTGCGAAAACCTGTAAAAATGGATCTATTTATTTATCTGTAGCCTTTTTATTTCCTTGGGAACTTACGAATGCTTTTTTTTTACAAATTGCATGCTTATAAAAGTACATGTGAGAGGGGAGCTCACTTATTCAGGAAGCTTGGGCAAACAAGCTGAAAAAACCCATATAAATTCCGATTCCGAAGCGCTCTTGAACCGGAAAGAAAAGGTGCGTGCTGCAGTTGTGTGTTGTGTGTGTGCAAAGGAATGCGATCGGTGGAGGCAAAAAGAAACAAAAACAGCCAAGAGGCAGCAGCGAAATAAATTACATATTTAAAACAAGGCAACACAACGGCAACAGGCAAAACAAAACGGAACGGGGAAAAAACTTGGAGTAAACATTCCGATTCAATGATTAAGACTCCAAATATAACTGAACTGAACTGAGAGTGGCAACAAACAAAAAATGAATTGTAAAGGCAAAAAAAAAGACGGGAAAAACGAGAGAGCAAAAGTTAAATAAAGCTCCGCGAATGATCTGCAAAAAAAAGGAAACCAAAACCAACAAACTCATACGTAATGAGTGCGAGAGAGCCAGACGAGAGCGAGCGGGATCGCTGTGATCAGGCCATGTATCTCATAGATACATTTTAGTTTGCCGTTCGCTCACATTTTTTGTCATGCCTCTCGCTCTCGCCTTTGCCCGGCCCCACTCTCCATCTTTGTCTGTCGCTTTGCCCATAAACAATTGCAAAATGTACGTAGGAATTTTTGCAGTTTCGAAATAATTGATTTCTGAAATTCTTCGCCCTCTCTCGCAGTTCAATCTTTCGGTTTTGACACTGGAAAAAAAAATCGAGATCATTTTTGTATTTGAGAAATGATAAATCGATTTATATTCTACATTTAATAAGGAATATGTTTTATTAAGCTAAAGATTGTTAGGGCCGTGTTTGAATACAGCTGCCTTATAATGAATTATTTTCTGCTATTCTTTCAGCTATAATAATACTATTCTGAAAAGTTAATAGAAAAATCTCAAAAAGATCTTTTACATATCAGAAATGATTATAAATGTGATTTTTGTTTGTGCATTTATATCTCTGTGCGCCGTATTGTTTCAGTTCGTGTGAGGCTGTGTGCGCTTCACGCTTTCAATTAACACAAACATTCCCTTTGTTTGTTTCAAATTGCATGGACATTGTTGAAAATGTTTCACTGAATTAAGCGTGGTGGAATTTCAGCATTATCCCCTGTCCCCTTCGCTCGCCTTTGAAAATGAAACGAAACATCTGCGCATTTGCTAGGGTTATGCATCAAGTAGATTATATATGCACACATGTCGTAGGAATGTCTGCCAGTGGGCAACAAAGCAACGATATATGTGCGTTCCGATTTCAGGGTTACAGACATTTGAAATCTGAAGGATTTTCAGGGATTTAATTGCGTCGTTTAATTTTATTTGATCTATTTATTATATTATGTGTTTAAGGCGATTAATTACTTTTAAATAAGGCCATCAGGGATATAACATTTTATAAACTGTTTAAAGGGATAGTAACTCATAAAAGTTATTAAGATTTGAAGTGTTCATCCCTGATGCGTTTTTAATAACTAAGTTAGAAAATAACTTCTTTACCTTGTTTAGCAAAATATTTCACAATTTTCCTTGATTTCTTTCAGAGTTTGTGCCATCTGTTCAATACATTTCCCCATTTAGTTCCACAATTCCAACATGGTTTCACCATTCGCATTGTGCAAACGTTTAAACTTACTCCCTTTATTGGTATTTTGCACGTCGCTCAAATTTTTTCACCAAAATTATATACGCTTTTCGCCATTTGTATTGCCCCTCCATGTCTATCGATCCCCCGTCTCCAACACGCGTTGCTATTGAATTTTTAAAATTGCTGCCGGTAGCGCGCAAAAATTCCAATAAACCATAAATAAATTTCTACAATAAAGCGAAGCGAGCCAGGCCTCGGGCGGCCTTTAAAGGCCTCGCCACGTTTCGAACACAGCCAACAAAAATCACAGAAAAAATAAATATCTATTCCAATACGCGTACGCAAGGTCGAATTATCGATACCCTTGAAATTCTACCGATAATTGCTTGGGCCGACTATAGCCCACATTTTCTAAGGTTTTCTAAAATTAAATGAAAATATTTGCAGAAATAAAATCGATTCATAAAATGTTATGTACAACATTTAAAAGTTGAGCCGATTTGAACTGAAAATAAAAGACCATTTTACTGTAGTCTGTATAAATGGAATATCTTGTAAAACCCCATATTGTGTCTCTGAGCTATTAATTTCCCGCAAAGGATTCCAAATTCATGACAAATCTAATGGAATTTCCATTAGACAGCGTATTTTATAAATAAATGTTTCACTTGTTTGTAAAGCATTTCGACAGGCAGTATTTTTTGTGATTTTCATTGCTGTGTTGCCTCTCTTTTGTTTTTTTTTGTTTTTTTGTATAAACAAAAGTTAACAACGACTTGACTTGGCCATGCGATTTGGCATTTTTTCGCCGCAGTCTTCTTCTTTATTTTCTCATATTTTTTCACCAGTTTTTTTTGGCCAATTGTTTAGCCACAAACAAGGCGGCGACACAGTGGAATATTTTTTGTGTTCGTTTTTAGACAGAAAACGTGTTTGGAGACATTTTTTCGATCTATTCATAGGAGCTACAAAAAATAAATAATCAAAAAAGCACAGGGAAAAAACTGAAGTATAAAATAGCAGCAAAATCGGCTGGCTACCAGTTGGGATAGTGACTCGAACTCGTTTGTTTTACATAAACTCAAATCGCCGCCAAAAAGGCCTAGCGAAAGCGGTTAACGATCGCTGTCATAAGTCGGACAGAGTGGCGCCAGCGGCGGGGGCTGTACTTGAGTATCTCCATCCGATCGGTAGCTCAAAAAATTATAATAAAAAATAAATATGTGCACTCGAAAAAATATATAATTTGTGTAGTTATAGGAAGGGAAAATAACTATAAACATATATTGACGATGGGAATGAAAACCCATTTGCAAATTAAACAAACTTTTTACCTAGTACACAATCTTAGTAGTATGACAAATTAACTGGTATTTTCTTGTAATGGAGCGGTTTTTTTGTTCTGTGTACTCTTCTCTCAACCAGATTGTGGCGTTCTAATTCCACCTGTGGCATTTTAATTCTAGAACGAACAATCGAGCGGTTGGTACGATAAATCGCTGGATCGACCAATTGCATAAAGAACGCAAATCAGGCGATCGAAACGAGAGCTGAAAAATAGAGGAGAGGCGTGCATGCGTGTGCTGCCAGGCATTATGCATTAGATGTGGCGATTTCTATCCGAGTCAAAACGAGCTAAAAATTTGCATAAAATTCAATTTGGCTTTTGCAGCGAAAGATGCCAGCACATGTATGAATCTAGATATATACCTATCTATATATATATATATATATATGTATATCCCACATTATATGCGCTGGTCTGTACATGTATAGCAACTTGGAAAGCTGCAAAACGGCATTTTTCATTTAATAAATTGCACAAGGCAATGCAGCAACAACAGCGGCAGCAAGAAAAGTGGAAAGAATGCAGATGCAATTGCCGTTTGCTGCTGCACCTACAGTGATAATTGACATATAAACAATATCAAAAGATTGCAAAATAAATTTAATTGGACAACAAGCTATTTTATACTTTAATGTAAATAAAATGCACCCCACAAAGATTCCTTTCGATTAAAATGTATTTTTAATATATTTTACATTAGATATCTTTCTTAAGGTCTTTTGTGGAAGCATTATTTAAATTTGTTCAATTTTTTCATTTAATTAGGTTTAAAATAAATTTTCAAATTTGCCTTTATTAATTTATTTTATTTTTATAGTATTGGTGTCTGCTTTAAAAGTGTATTTTCAGTAAAACAGCAGTTGCCCATAGCCAGCAGCCACTGTACGCGGACAACAGATGCAGATACACAGCGGCGGCAACAGGCAACAACAGCAGCAGCATGCATTGCATTTGTGCAACAAGTATTTCCACTTAACAACAGCAACAACAGGGAAGAAATTGTTGTTGCTGGTGTTGCAGTGGCTGCTGCAGTTGTTGTTGCTGTTGCTGCTGCTGCTGCTCCCTGCTGCAGTCGAAGTCGAAGCCGTGATTACAATTTGATTACGCGCATGAATGCGCGGCTTTGCCAGCAGCAACATTTTCTAGTTTGCTGTACGCGGCCCAAAGCGTTAAAAAATATTTTCTTTTGCACTTGCGAGCAGCAGCAGAAACTGCAACTGCAACAGCGACACTCGCTGGCCAAAGATAGGCACATGGGTACATAATGTATCTGACAGATACATAAGCGAACTTTAGTCGCTCCTCGCACCGCATGTTTTGCCCATTTTAGCGTCTGTTTTTCCACCAAAGCCGCTGCTGCAACTTGCCACCAACTGCCATCTAAAAAGTGGCAACAACTTCCAGGCAACGACAACAGCAGCAGCGGCAACAGCAACAACTACCACGGATCTGCAACGACTTTTCCTGTCTCGCACTTGTTGCATGTCAGCGGCGACGTTCTTCAGCAATCAACACTTGTGATTTTTATCAAGCATAATGATTTCCTTTTCAACATGTGCTAATTAAGAGGGTACCAGGGGATAGGTGCGGAAAACAAGCCAAGGGCTCGCCTTTTTGTCGGCAGATTGACTCAAAGTATGAAACTATATTTTTTCAGAGTCTCCCACGATTTAAG